AAAAAAAAAAAAAAAAAAAAATCATTAACTAAACCTGTAGCTCCACAGAGCTTCATCTACACAACTATATTTGTATTCATTGATACTGTTTTCACTAACCATATTAAAAAAAAAAAAAAACTGATACTGTTTTCACTAACCGTAATGAGACCCTTTCCGAACCGTGTGGCAAAGTTGTATGAAGAGAGAAAAAAAAAATCTATCTATCCGTCCTTATACATGAAATAATCATCCTCCGTCCCCGACCGTCCTCGTCCTTTTAAAGCGCTTCCGTCCTTGCATTTCACCAGTCCTTCCCCCCACCCAACCGCCCCCTCCAAAAAAAGACGTCCATGCATGATGCCGTGGGAGAGAAGCTAATGGCAGAGGTTTCATAATTGAAAAACATTATTTGAAGCTCGTTTGCTGGCTAATTCCCTATTCACATCCACTTACCTTCAGGGCACTCATTTATTTACACACACACACACACACACACACACACACATACACACACAGACACACACACACACACACACACACAAAAATGCTTCATTATTTTTGATTTTTGTTTTTTGTGTGTGTGTGTGTGTGTGTGTGTCTGTGTGTGTATGTGTGTGTGTGTGTGTGTGTGTGTGTGTTTGCTTCCTTAAACTGCCCCTTGTAGATCCCCTGCTAATAAACCAAAGGGGGAACGAGATGTATGTTTCTGAGGGATAATGTGGGACACTGCTCGGCGTGGCGGTGACGCGGCATTCCGTCTCTAAAATGCACCCTGAGGGACGGACGAACCGTTCCGTCCCAGGAACGGAATGCCCTTCTCTTCCTCTGACCCCCGAACTCTAACCTCTAACCCTGACCTGTAACCCTAACCCCAACGCCTAACCCGAATTTAACCCCCAAACCTAACCCCGACATTAAAACTAAGGCTAACCCGAACCCTAAACCCTAACCCAACCCCAAGCCTAAACACATAACCCCAACCCCTAACACTAACCCTAACGCCCTAACCTCTAAAACGAACCCTAACCCAACCCTAACCCTAACCTAATCCAACCCCTAATGCTAACCCTAACCCACACCTAACCCCAACCCTAGATCCCAAACCCGAAATTTAATCTCTCACCCTCTCCTAATCCGAACACTAACGTATCCATAACCCAACCCTAACCGTAACCGTCACCCAAACCTAAGCCTAAACCCTTAACCGTAACCCTACCCCCTACCTCCTAACACTTTCCCTAAATCCCAACCCCTAACACTAATCCTAACCCAACCCTAGCCCCCTTACCCTGGCCCCCTAACCCAACCTCTAACCCCTAACTTTCTCCCTCTCATGGTTAGAGGGTTGGGTTAGGTGTGGGTTAGGGGTTGGATTAGGTTTGGGTTAAGGTTAGGATTTGGGTTGGGTTTGGGTTTGTTTTAGGGGTTAGGGTGTGAGGGTTAGGGTTGGGTTAGGGTTATCCAAACCCTAACCTTAACCCCAAAGCCTAACCCACAACCACTAGCCCTCAATTTAACCCTAACTGGGTTACAGTATGTTCATTTTGCAGTGTTATACAGCAGTTCACTTTTTTTTTTACATTTGAGTAACAGTGAGGAATGTTTGTTATTGTGGTGGGGACAATGTGCCAAGTACATTAATCAGGAAGAAATGATGCTTTGCACCAGAGTGTAGCTCCGCAAACTCATTTCCATCTGTGGTCTCTCGTACACAGAAATGACAGGAAAGCAGACAATACATTGTGCATAACAGGCAACAATGCATAATTAGATCAAGTTATTTAGTAAAAGTAAGTAAAAAGTCCAAGAAAGCCGCCCCACTCTAGCAACTCTTCCCATAACAATTCACCCCACAAGTCATCTCCAGACCCCAGGCAGAAACGATAAGGCTGAAACGTTTGATGACTTCATGATGCCACCATATTACTGCTTTGAATGAAAAGACCGATTGCTCTTTGACTCGTTTTATTTTGGTTTCTGCAGACCGCACATTAAAATATTACTGAAAGGCGGACCGATGAAAATGTGACTGTTTTAAATTTCTTGCATACAAATACTGTAGTTGCATCTCTGGAGTACTGTCTCGTCCACAACGTGTGAAATTAAGAAACCAAGTAAATTGTTAGCTATTTCCAAAAATGTGTCTTTCAGCTAGTCGTTCTGAATTTCGTCAGACTCGTAACCCAATCTTTGCATAATAACCCTGTGGCTAATTTGCAAAACAACTGTCCCACCAATTATTTAGCAGCTCGGCGTTTGCAAAGATCCACCATTTTGAAACGTGACACTGTCTGAAACACGGTCCAACCCGAATCATTAGCTTGCTCAGTGAAGTTGTCGATGGGGTGGGGGTGTTTGGTGAGTTGTCCCCTTCATGCGCACCGAGATGCTAGTTTGTCATCCAGCAGTAAGTTCGGCCGGGTTGAGCAGTTTCTCGCGTGCATGAGACAGCGCCACTCCCAGAAACTGAGCTGTAAAAGAGCAATCTGACTCTTGATCATTCTGACGAAAGCATGCCACAGACATGTTAAGACACCCGCATAATCCGTCTCATGTAAAACAGTGACGGTAAAGTACAGTGAATGACTGTTTTAAAATGGCAGACTCGGGAAGTTATTTTTTCTGGGAAGAATTGTTTGGAAACCATAAGAAATCTGATCAACTGAACTGATCCTGTAAGGGAATTCAATTTACACGTGAGGCTTTGCAGTTTCTTCTGATGAGTTTTTCACATATCCAATCACAGTTGCAGGTTAACTCAATTCCCCGCTAGCGTGTTGCAACTTCCTTCTTTTGCAGCTTTGGGGGTTTTCCAATGGTGACACAACCCCGAAATGACTTGACAGACTTCTGACTAGCTGAAGGGGTGACAACTTGTCTGGAAAGCTTCCACAGACAGAGGTTTGTAAGTTTTCATTAGTCCTGCATATAAATTGGTTAAGTGAAGATTCTATACTGTCTGTTGGTGTCAATGTGAGTGGTTGGGATGGGGTGCAGCGTGCCCGCGATGCGAGTGAGGATAAACGGATTAGAAAATGGATGGATGGATGAATTGGACAAGAGTAGAAACATGCATATGAATGTTGGTAGCGAGTAGTCTTATTTTTTTTTTAGACATTTAGCGACACTGACGTTTTTGTTCGACTCCATAGGCAGGTAGGCTGAGAGCTAGCCCCTGCTTGCTCCCGTGGCTGTCCAGTGTTTGGCTGCAAAACAGATCAGGTTAGCAGGACCAAATAAGAATCTTACCGGCCTCGACATACTACCGCCAGTCTTTATTTCAGTTCAGCACAACGCCCAAAATTCATAGGAATTGGGTGTGTACATATCTCTTTGTTTACTTCAGACAAAACACATACGCAGAGGCATATGCGCAGTCCATACACGATTTACTTAAATTTGCTTCAAGGGAAAACGTTCGATGCAATCAAGGCTCTGCCTGTGCCTTCCTGTCTCAGTTCCTGTATGTGACTTTTTACAGAGAAGCCAGATAGCAATGTTGGTCAGAAGAAAAGTTCCAACCAGAACAATGCAACCCGCTGGCCTGGGTTTAGGCCGCTTTCATCATTATTGTCAAACAGGTCTTTGCTTATGTCTTGGAGAGCAACAGATCTGAAAAACGGGTCCTCTTTGTTTGCGCGAGTCTCGACATGTAAGCAAATAGTGGTCGGGAAAATAAAGCGGCGGCCGGTTTCAGTTCTTGTCATTGGTTGATGACTAAGTTGACAACCATGTATGATAATGACCATTCACAAAGTTGTTTGCTCATGACCACCGGGTACAGTTCTTTGAATTTTCCTTCAACCATCTCATGTCACCACATTACTGTCGCTTTCTGGAAGCACTTTTTGGTGTGTAAATTCCGTTGGACTTTGCTTACTCGGGATTGTTTGTGTAATGCACAAATGTTTGCATGAGAACACATTTTTCACATGAAACCTATGGGCGGTGCACTGTTTAGGCAAAACTACTGGTTGTCCCACGATGAAGGTTCAACACATACACACACACACACACACACACACACACACACACACACACACACACACACACACACACATATACAAGGAGTGTGTCAGCTGTTTTTGGTACCACTAACATTCACATGATTTTCATATTTTATTTCATATCCTCAACATGGTATGCTTCACTTCACCCTAGTGAGAATAAGCAGTATAGGAAATGGATGGATGGATAATTTAATTTGTAAATGTAGGTCAGTGCTTATGATTGTGTTTAGGCCAGCAGGGAGTGGCTTGTTCGCCGATAAAATATAAAAAAAAACACTCACCTACAACTTTAGGTGATGCAGGTGTATATTTTTCTTCTCTCTTCACCTCTTTCTTTTTTGAACACCCCTTGTTGAGCTTTGTATGTCCTTTGGAATAGGCATCTCAAAATAAAGAACAAAAATGAAAAATGCAGGTTTCATTTGTGTCCATGACATCATGTTTCCAATACGAGCATCAGTGACATGTTTAAAGCTCATCCCAGTTGAGTTTGGGCAAGACGGCAAGCTACATCCCGGGGGCTGGATGCCAGACAATCTCAGTCTCACTCTCAATTGACAAACAACCAGTCACACTCACATGGATCAATTTGAACAGCAGGCCCCAACCACCTCCATAGAACAAAAAATGTTATTTGATCATCAGTCTATTTTATCTTAAAAAGCAAGTGCATAGCCACCGTGTGTCTCTGTGCGCACGTGTAATTGTTCATCTGGGTGATGTAATACGGATGTAAAAAAAAACCCAAAACAAACACACACAAAAAAAAAACAATGTCCTATCTTTGTGAAGCAGGTTTTTCTGCAATGATGGAAACCAAAACCAAATCCCAGAGCAAACTGGATGTCACACTTTTGGTGTAATTGACTGCCATTACCCCAACATCGGACCTGCTTGTGGAAGAGGAACAAACGCAGGGCTTCCTCTATTTACCACAACTACATTTGGTTTAATGGTGAGTTGTATTTATTTGTTCCTATGCGAGTCTGTGAAAATTTTGCTTCATATGAAGTGTGTGGTGCAAAAAAAAAATAAATACATTTGGTGACCACTGATTCTAGCACAGGCGGTTCAAGACAGTTTTGCTTTGGGGTGGTGAATGGGTGGCAGGAGTTTCATTTGGGAGGGTGGAAGTTATACACCCCACAGCGTGCCATATAAAGGACACACAAACACTAATTCGGGTTTTAAGTTCTGCATTCCCAAATTTTATGCATGTCGTGAATAACAAACAGTAGCTTAGTGTTGAGCACTAGCCCAGTCTGTGTATGTAGGCTACGTGATAACTATTCTCATGTAGGACTACTACAAACAATTATTTTGCGAATTGATTAAATACTTACTAATAGTACGGTAGTTGCAATTAGTCAACCAATCGGATCATGTAAATTGCAGCATATCGCTCCAGCAAGCAGGTGCTCACACATAACCATCATGAGCTTACAGCCTGAATTCTTTAAGGTACATGTATGTACAAACTAAAAATTAAGACAATCAAGGTGATAGTACAATTCAACTTTGATTAAGCTTGGCAGCTTGTACTAGCTTTCCTGACATAATGGCGCAATTTAAATTGAATGTTGTGGCCGTTATATTTGGATTTGTAAACATTAAGTGCATTTGAAAATGGGCCAACGACTGTATACACTAATCTAAATAGCCACTTGTCAACAATGTTTTTTTTTTTTTTTTAATGAATGTTAAACGGCAGTAAGTCAAATTAAAGACCTGCCCACCATTTTATGAGGCGCTGAGAGTTTTAAGGCTGTTGCCAGTAAAGGGTTAACCCTGAAGTCGAAGTATCCTCCTTCTCTGTCTGGTGGCGTCTCTCTCTCTCTCTCTCTCTCTCACTCTCTTTCTCTCCCTCTCTCTCTCTCAGTCCCCCTCTCTCCCTCCCTGTGTAGGACCAACCGTCTATTTGAAAGCAAAAACAGATCGTTCCTTTATGTCGTTTTGTCACTAAAATGTGCTGCCGTCTACTTGTTTGTGCATCACGTTCGTTCGACGACCCAATGCGGATAACGTGGCGGAGCTGAGTACCATTTGACTGGAGGTGAGTGTAAAAACAAAACAAAAAAAAAAAAAAAACACCCCACCACTTTCTTTCTCCGGCCGAAGCTCACACGAAGACGATCCTTTTATCTGTAAAGTTTACCACGAGCGCGGGGTGTGTCGTTGCTCGGTGTGACGTAACACGGACGTTATATTTTGCATTCAGAGTGTCTTAACTTGAGTTCCAATGCCGAATGTAGCATTTTAGAGCTATAGCTTGCAACTTTTGGTGTGTAATGGCTTTTATCTTGGGACAAAACCTACCCTCGAGCCTTCCATTCTACTTCCCTGTTGATGGCACTCTTCTGCGTTGCAATGAACGCTCTCAGACGGATATTAATCGCGTATATTGACAGAGACCAGTTGACATAATGGGGTGACTTTATTCAGTTGTTCACGTCATAATTTTAGCTCATGCCACACATTCTTCGTCCCTCCGAGCAGTGGCGTCCAAAGCACTGTGAATGTTCGGGGCGGGGGCCTGATTATTTGGGGGGGGCAGATTGGGGATTGACTATTTATTTTTTCATGTTCTTGTCGTACGAACACACATTTGTCCAGATGACAGGGCACAGAATACAGTCCAGGTTAGTCCAATAACTCTCAAAAGTTGTGAAAAATACGTAAGATTAAAACAAATATACAGTATATGATAAGGTAAGATAGCTTTGAACTAAAATAGCCAGATAAGGTTGACAGTTTAGTTTACCAATAGCGGATCAAATGTAAACCAAACTTCATTCAGTTGATAATCAGTGAAGAAATGTTTTTATTGATCCAATATATGTGACTGAGCAAGATTATGAGAATCAGAATCATTTTTATTGGCCAAGTATGTAGAACACACAGGGAATTTGTCTCCGGTAGTACAGGCTACACTAGTATCATCGAGAACAAGCAACTACGATATACAAGGACATGACAAATAAGTATCGAGAGACTTTCCGTAATGTAAGGGTGCCAATGACAGCTGTGACACAATGCGCAAAGTATCATGCAGAGCTAAAGTGATCAGTAGTAGAATACAACACTATGCCAACTTCACATTTGAAATTTGGTGGTGACTCGATTTACTTCTCACCCACCCCCAAGCCAGACCCCACCACCTAAAAGTAGCTTCAGACTTGCATGAGACTTGGAGGATCTGACTTGAGACTTGGTTGTGACTTGCTCATATGTGATGTACTCCCGCCTTTGCTCACTGACTTGCTTCAAAAACTGAAAAAAATCAGTGAATTGTATTGTGGTTTTGAAATGACCTGGATTCATGCAAGCATTGGTCCTGAAATGTTATCTGATCGTCATCTAAATCACAACAGTAGACAAACACAGTCTGCTGAAATAAATACCACAAATAAAGTGACGTCCAGAGACCGCCGGGATAGGCTTCAGCATGCCCGCGCCCCTCGTGAGGATGAGCGGCTCAGATCATGCATGGATAGATGATGGATGGACAAATAATTGCAGCAGAACCTCAGTTCACAAGTTTAGTTCATTCCAAGATGATGAAATATTCACCAACCAAAGCATTCTTTTCCCCATTTAAAATAAATGGAAATATAATTCATCTGGTCCATCCTCAGAACCAAGTTATGGTTAAATTTAATTTATGGATTTATTTTTAAAAAGAAAGACAAAAGGAAAGAAATTTACCTCTTATTGCATCTTTTGTTTTTCTTAAGAATAGTACAGAGCTGAGAAATTGAGCAACAACTTCCCACCACAGTCTTTGCGGGATCCCCACCTGACAGCGGCGGGGTGTCTACTCCCCCAAAAGATGTTAGATTCTGTCTACCCAAACAGCATAATGAGGCTCTAAATCATAAATCTCTGCTGCTGTTTACTTTTTGTTTTTGACATGATAGTACTTCCATGCAGTCGCTTGAAAAGGCGGGCCCTTCCCCTAGCATAGCTGCCTGGTCATGGGTGGAGAGGCTCAGTGTGGGGGCAGTATTGTGTAAATTACCTACCCGTATTTTCCGCACTATAAGGCGCACTTGAAAGCGTTCGATTTTCTCAAAAGGAGATGCGCTTTATAATCCGATGCACCTTACATATGGATTATTATTTCTTGCAAGTAGTTTAATTTTTAAATGGTCTGTAAAGCGCTTCGTTATAGCTGCAGCGGTTGTGAAAGCTCTATATAAATACAGCTGTATTGTATTGTATTGTATTCCTTTTAGCGTAGCTCCATCTAGTGGATGCATATCATAACCGGAATCACTTTTGTAGCTTCTATTCAATGCACCTTATAATGCAGTGAAAAAAGTTTTAAAATAGGCCATTCATTGAAGACGAGCCTTATACTCCAAAGCACCTTATAGTGCCAGAAATACGGTAGTCACACCGGCAAAATTCAGAACGGCTTGATCACAGAAATAAAATTGGGGAACAAAATAATTGGCGAGCACGCCATTCCTTTTAGCGTAGCTCCATCTAGTGGATGCATATCATAACCGGAATCACTTTTGTAGCTTCTATTCAATGCACCTTATAATGCAGTGAAAAAAGTTTTAAAATAGGCCATTCATTGAAGACGAGCCTTATACTCCAAAGCACCTTATAGTGCCAGAAATATGGCAGTCACACTGGCAAAATTCAGAACGGCTTGATCACAGAAGTAAAATTGGGGAACACAGAACCAAATATTTACATGCAAAGAATCTAAAAAGTTATTTTTCCATGTGTCCTCTTCAAAAGGGATTTTATGGTTACGATTTCATTTCATCAGGAAATAAATTCCCGTGACATGTACTTCTATTTTTTTTTTTTTTTGGTTAAGGTTGGTACAAGTCCCAGCCACATCCATGGATGATGCAGGATTTATGACCTGTACTGCAAGCACCGGCAGTAACAGCCACAGCAGCCGTAGCCAAGCGGTGATCAAGGTCTTTTGGTAAGATTTAATTGTGTCTGTTTTGGCCTTGTGTCTTTGGTATGGAAACATTTAAGTCTGTGGAGTGCCTGCCCACCCACCAAGTGTGAAATGATACAGCCAACAGTGCCTGCCAAGACCCGAAACAGAATAAGACATATTTGGATGAATCGAGTATCGACAATCGTATATTGCATGTTGTGGTGTGTTCTTTGTGTGGCTTTTTACAGTCGCTGCGGCTGCCCATATTAAGCTTCTATCCTCACTGTGGAAAATAAGTGACTTGCCTGTAAATCTTTGACTATTCAACACACCTTTTGCGTCGACGTGCCGGTGGCGTAGTATGTCATTTTGTTTTGTGAGTTTTTACTCTGAAAACTAGGCTTTAATTTGCATTCAGTGCAAAACTGTGAATGGGGCAACTTGTTTCCTCATCATTGCATACATAAGTACACAACATTGATGCATGCGTTGACCAGCCAAACCCTCACCGGGTAGCTGTAAACATTTTTCACAGCAACGTTAACTACTTGTGTGTTTTTCTCTGCAGTTTTTGACCTCGCTGCACTCGATCGACTGATTGAATCCGAGTGACTGTCAAGATGCGTTCTAGTGCGGATGGACATTCCAGTCCCCACAGCAGAGGACACACCAATGACAATAACAACAACAACAACAACAGCAGCAGCATCAACGAGAACAGTGGAAATTCCGGTTCCCAGTATGCACTCTGCGCTCTGGGTGTTGGACTCGTGGCCCTGGGCATTGTCATGATCGTCTGGAGCGTGGTGCCTGCAGGCCCGAATGCGAACAACAGCAACGGTAATTCAGGTGGCGGAGAAGCCGATTCATCTGGGAACAGGAAAAGTAAAGCTTCCTCTGTGGCCTTTGTCCTGGTGGCCTCGGGGGTGGTCATGCTGCTGATGTCCTTGTGCCTGGGAATGAGGAACAAGCAGAGGGAGCAGCGGAGGCTCCAGGAGGCTCAGAACCGCAGAGCTGTGACCGCCAGGGAGAATGGCGATGTAGAAATGTGAGTTATTATGGGTTTTTTTTTGGTTTGTTTAAAGACAATACAGTGTTGAAATACAAGTGTAATTCACTCGTGATGAAGTGTAGCCCCCATGAGTGAAAATACAATTAATGTATTTATCAGGGCTCACTTTTTTTATTTTTCTTGCCACTCTCATGAGAAGTAGCACTTGCCTTTTCACGCCCCGCAGTCATCATGGGTAATGAAAGCCTTCTTTGGTTTTGGCGCACCATGCGTGAGTGGGATGACGGGTGTGGTGTGACTTATTTTCATGTGACATGTTCAAGCGCCTCCTCAAAATAGGATTTTTTTTTTAGACAGGCTCTAGGGTTTTCCTGGTGATTGTTTTTTTTTTTTTTGAGAAATTGCATTTGCTTGGTCACAAAAAAAAAAAAAAAAAAAAAAACAACATTTACCTGTTTGAAAATCCCCAAAATTGTCCGGCACCTTGATAGTCAAACAAACAAAAAAAAGTCTGTTACTTGCTTGCAGCTCTTCTTTGACGGTTCTAGGAATGACTTCAGGCTGTTTCTGGTATGTCATGTCACATTACCGCAGTTGAAGTTCAAAATGACACCTACGAGTGCAACACTGGTCAGATGATCACAGTTTTCATGATGACAAAATTTGGGAAGTTGAAGGTCCTCTGAAACTAGCCAAATGCGGCCACCTCCAGCTTTTATATGCAGGAAAAACTCTGGTGTAAAAAGAGGGTGAAATGTGTGCTGTCATTCTTGACCCCTTGGAGGTATTTAGACAAAAAAAACATGTCCCAGGCATGTCTAATTCATTCACTGCGAACCCATTTCAAAGCCAGCCCTTTTAGACAGAAGATTGTGTTGCCCTGAACATACCATAATAAGTCACCAATAAAAAGTTTCTTTTTAGCTTTTTTGATCCATCACTACTTTGACAAAATCATGGAGAGAAAAATAACTTTTTGTGAAAGAAAATGTCAAGCAGGACACTAACTTTAATGCTTATCGTCTCTACTTGTGCTACTCAGACTACAAAACGACAAAAACAAGCGTGCGAAAGGGCTTTTAATGACCAAATATTTTTGGTCATTAAAAGCTGCTTTTTCACATTATCCCCAGAAGTGGAACAAAGCACATCTAGAATTTTCAATGTATCAAGATCTGCGTCGCGCTGATGGCAAACCATAAAATGCAGTCTATTATTTCTCTCACCAGTCTTGGTTTTTGCAATGACCATTTATGCCATTTATTTTTTTTTTATTTGCCTGTGTGCAGTGCCGAGCAAGACACCCGACGCTATGCTGTGCCCACCTATGAAGAGGCAGTAGGCAGTGGCCAGTACCCAGTCCGCCAAAGCAATGTTCAGCCCAGCTCCTCCCAGCTCCCCTCCTACGATGACTTGGTCCAAGTCGATGGGGTGCATTATGAATTTGAAGGTCCAGAGGTCGGGGATCCTGGGTCGCAGCTCGGCCCCGCCTCCGCCGCCACACCTGCAGCTGCTTCCGCCTCAAACCGGAGACCAAATAAAAGTGCCCGCAAGCTCCTCCCCATCAAGATCCGCAGGATCAAATCGGAGAAGGTGCCCAATTCTCAACTGGCTGCTGGCATTAGTATAGAACCTCTCACCCCGCCACCGCAGTATGAGGACAAGGCGCCCCCCATCTGATGATAACTTTCAAACCTGAAACTGCAATCTTCCATCAATCAGGACCGCATCAAGACAAGCCTTGGTGAACGCATGGCCGAGGTAGAAAAGCACCAAATAGTCTTTCGTCATGCCTGCGTCGATTCATTTGATGGAACAGCTCATGAGACTTCACCGGATTATTTGTGCGCACATGAGGACCGAGACCGGCAGCAACTGTCACTGACTCCAGCCAGCAGAGTGGGTGACGTTTGTCTCTGCAGGCTACCACAACTGTTAACAACACACCACACCAGGAGTGGCTTGTGATATCATTGCTTTAAGAGCTTCGTAAACAAAGACGAGACATTTTGGACAAGTGTTGGCTTCTGTTCAAGCAGCACATCCTTTTTATTACCTTAGACCAACATGCCTTTGATTTTTCTGAACCCTGCAATGGAATTCAGTGGGAAATTGTACCACAATTAGCAACCAGTATTAAACTGGAACTCTATTTTTCCAGCAGAGCATCATGAGCGGTGCAATCACTTTTTGACGTGACGACGTGCATTGCCACATGACACTACGCTAACGTGGCAGACGTTACAAGTAACTATTACGAGTAGATTCTCTACTACTATCTCTCTACTATCATTGAATGGATGATGGTGGGATAGATTGTGTTTTTCTATGACCACGCCCTTCTACTTTTTGTGACATTTGTTCACACAGAAACGAAACGAGCTTTATTTCTAATAACACTTTACATTATTACTTGTTACACAGCGCTTTTGTTTGCATTTATAGATCACAGTTCCCATCCAACGACAAACACACTTTGTTGAAATTTCATTGCATTTGCATCATATTTATACATTTTGTAATTGATTAATTCAACTGGTGTGCAATGCTTTCTTTCACGGGATGGTGACGGGGTGGTTAAAAAGAAATGGCGAGCTTATATTTAATAAGGCACCATTCAAAATAGTTGATGCAAACATATGATTGATCCCCCCCCCCCCACATCCTCTTTGGAGTATGCCCACTTTGCAGTTTAATTGCCCCTGCCTCAATGTGTACTACAACCGAACTGACTTTTGACGTTCCCAATTCAGTGTCAGTTTTGCTCTGAAAAACATCCTCTCAGGGAAGGAGGGAAACAAGGGAACAATAGAAGAAACTCTGGGGCCTGCCTTCACGCAGTCGTCACCACATAAGAGCAGTCGCTCTCCGAAAGCATAGACTCCACTCCACTGTGGGCCTTTTTTTTTTTTTTTCTCGTCTCATTCATGATGACCAACAAGAGTCTCTTTGAGTGTGCAGCTGCACTGTTCTAACAGCAAAACTTGCTCATCAACTGCAGCTTGACTCAGAGGCCTGTTTTCACCTCTGACCACGCTGGCAATGAGCCACGCAGCAGAAGGCTCTCCATTCACGGGGCAAATGTTGCCATTAGCGTGCGCTGTTTTATCAATAGCTGCCAAATGTCAGATGAGAATAACACATGGGAAGAAATGGATTGAACTTTGGGAGTGTTCTTTTGCCCTGTGTTTGAATGGAATCAAGTGGTGGTGTTAGTGGCAAAAGAGGAATTAATGATACACTGCGAGCATATTTGTACGAAGCAACAAGTCATTTTGTCCCGAACCTCCCCTGGAATAACCCTTCTCCGTTGTATTTACTGATTCTCCTCATGGAGTGCCTCATTTGTTTGCAAGAGTTTATCTTCCAGGAATAAAAGATTGTAATAATTAAGCCGGTGATAAGGTAAACAGTTCTCTGTGGCGAATGGCGAGTGCAGAAAACATTTGGTTTTCCATTGAGAGTCCGAACACATTTATGCTGTTTCATGTTTCTTAGGACTTAAATCCTTTGTGTGTGTGTGTTTGTGTGTGTGTGTGTGTGTGTGAATTGTGAAGATATATTCGTAAAAATGCCTTTTCACCAGTTTGAACTGAAAGCAATTTATTTTGAGAGTATTATATTGGAATAAAAAGATTTCAGTAAACCGTGTTTTCTTTTTTTTTTTTTAACTTTGAAGGAACAACGATTCTGTATGTATAGTAGCATTTAAACCTGCTTCGCCAACTACAAACGAAATACATATTTCCTAGGATGAGATGTTCATGTCATTTGGTACAATAAAAAGGAGACCAGGGCGAAAGTCGACTCCACAATATAAGCAGCATGATGCAGTCATTCGTTGTTTTGGCGTAAATCTGACAGATATGACCATAAAATATCCGATGTAAAAGACAGTGATCAAAGTTTTTCCCCTTGTTGTTCATATTCGACAATTTATTATTAGTATCAGACCATTTTAGGTTGCCCTTTGAACAGCTGCATCAGTAGTTGCTCTTAACCTGTAGACACAAACGAAAACATTGTTTAACATACCGACAGTATCTTGTTTTAGCAAAGCCAAGGCTGTTTGTCTACCCCAAGCGCCTTCGGCTGTGCTGGTGAAAGTGGTTCACTTTAAAATATTTGTTGCTTACTCTGTTAATCCAGTCCAGGTAGGAGCTGACTTGAGTAAACACGGTTGGCTTCTGGAAGAAGTTACAGCCCTGCCCTGAACCAAAGCTCACCACGCCATGCACGGTCCAGGAGCCATCGGGGTTCTGGCAGTTCAAAGGACCCCCGGAGTCTCCCTGTCATGTCATGCACAAATGAATCCGAAATGTTTCACTTCATTTTTTTACTATCTTCATTTCTCTTCATTTGCAGTTTCCTTTTTAGCCTCACATTACAGCCAGCAGTGATGCCGTCTCCACCAGCGCAGACCATCTTGTCGGTTGCCAGGATGCCCCACCAATCGGGGTGCGAGCAGGTGTCATGGTCGACCACTGGCAGGAGAGCCTGCTGCAGGATGTCAGCTAGCAAACCGTCAGCTGACAGTAACGACACACACATGCTAAATAAGACCTGCGGCTATAGAATGTTACTTCTCCCACATGACGAAAATCCTTCCAATGCATCTAACAATAAAGTAAAACACTTGCCGCAAATAGCAAAAAAATCACAAGCAGTGAACAAACCCCACTTGCCCAAATGTTGACATGTATATATTAATAGTTTAAGACGTAACTACATCACAAGCTATGATCCCAGAACACCTTATTACTATTTCAAATTCCTTACAATATTAGCCTTAAAAGACAAAGTAAATGGCTTACAATTGCCCAAAAATTTTTTAACAGTCACTTGGCAGCGCAAAAAGCATACAAAAGTAGTAAACACTCTCAATAACTTCGGCTAACAGTGCAGGCTAAACTTAGCTAGTACCTGGTATCCCCTGTTGGTCTTCTATCCAAGTACAAACCCTGTCTGGGTGCTTTTTAGTATGTTCATACTTAATTCCTACTTCTCCCCAATACAGACTACAATTATGACTTAATTAGATCCTGACAACCGTGGACTGAGTCAGAGCAAAAAAGGTCGGGCCGCACTAACATTACGCAATGTCAAGTGAGGGCACACAAAATTTCCCGAGGGCCGCGAATGTGAAACCTCTGAGCAAAGCCACTCGTGACCTTTTCACAGTCTATTAGCGCCCTCTCTTGATGGAGATTTGACCCTGCAGTCAATTAGATCTTCCCTGTTAGGGGCACGTCTCATCAGGTGTCACCACCTTCTCGGTTTGGCATAATTTTTGCACAAGATGCCCTTCCTGATACATATTTATCCGTGTTTGGGACCAGTAGCAGCTGGGAATTGGGGTCTCGCAAATCCAGTAAGATATTCTCGCATACCTGTCAACTTTTCGGAGCGCCAACCTGTATAAACTACCAAAAAAATCCTTATAAAGAGCAAAAAATCCTTATAACATAATAAAGCATTTTATATGTCAAAATAACGGCAGAAAAAAAACCCACGAAATATGAATGATATATTTGTTTCCTTGTAGAACTTGCTTGTACACTACCGAAGTATGCAATGAATACTCTGCTGTTTTCAACTAGGAACCACGCGATTTACTGGAAAGTTACCGGAAATGAAAGCATTCGAGTAGACTAGCACCATTCTGGGCAAAAGCAAACGGAACTACCTGTTAGGGGGGAAAAAAAACCAAAAAAAAACCCCGGAAATTTTCAGAATCCGTATGATTTGTGCGATATGGCCATAAACGTAAGATTCACCACAAAATCCGTATGAACTAGGGCTAAACCGTATGAGTTGACAGGTATGTTATCGTTTGTAACTGCGATTTGAACTCTGGTCGCCCTGTGTCCGATTACTCGATGATTCGAAGGAAGAGTCGTTACGACGATAAAATGTAAAATGTTTCGTTAGTGTCAGCTCAAAAATTGTGCACTCACTGGACAACCGACCCCAGCCAGTTATGTAGCATGCAGCACCATGGGGAAGGACGGCATGACGTGATGGGAGGCAGGATGGCATGATGGTGTCAGAGAAGACCACGGGGGAGGAGAGCTTGATCAGGGCTATGTCGTTTCTGCGAAAGACACATGCAGCAGGACGTGGCAAGTCAGTGTGTATTGAGCAGTACAATGTCCTGACACCTCAACATGAGCTCACTTTTATGAGTCCCCGCTGAGGTGAAGTAATGTGGACGGCTGTCACGTTGATGCTGTTACCGGCTGAGCAGGATGTTGTAGCCCTCATGGGTGATGATGATCCGGGCCGCCCTCCGAGCTGCCGAGTTTTCCTCACTCGCCTTTAAGCTGTGCTTACCCACTTCCACTCTATAGTTGTGACGGCCACTGTGGGATTGTTCATGACATGACGGTGTTGAGAGGCTGAACGGGTGTCTGGGCTTATTCTGTCCGTGCAATTCGTATTCAAGACGATTGTGGACCGCTTGCTATTACAGTTTTTCTCAGTCACTTTGGTCCATTTCTAATATCAGAATTGAAAATGTGTAAAATAGTAAGTCTCAAATGAGTCTTTGTACAAATAGCAAAACGTCACGGTGCCCCTGCAAAAGTCATTTTCTTTCTCAAAATCCTCAATGCATCCCTCAAAAGTAAATATTTGTAGGACTGAACTCGTCAGTGGCATCAGAATGACAAGACGTGTTATCTTGTTTGGATAAGTCAGTCAAATTGCTTCATCGTGTCAGTGTAACAGCGTACCCTGGAGTCATGTTCTGATGTAAACTGTGATGGTTTGTTTTGTCTTTGCTTGAATCTTTTTGAACACAGTGAAGTGATTCACACCTTTTCAATTGAGTCTCATGATTGTTTTCTTCAATTAACACCTCATATGGAAAAATGCTATTGATTAATTCTTGTTCTTGTTTTTTAAATTTTTCTTTATATACACTTGAAACCTTTAAGTCACTCTCTCTCTCATTTCAAACAGCTTCTGAATGTTGCGACAGAGTAGGTTTTTGTGAACTGCATACATTGTGCTGTTTTAAACTCAACTAAGGTTTATAACTTCATGGTGTTTGATTTGAAAAATAGTCAATTCGCATTGCTCTTTTTGATGTTTGAAAACAGGATAAGTACCGTATATGTTTTGTTTGGCGATTCCCATTATTTCCACACAATAGATCAGGTATGACAATAATAATGAACAATATAACGACGACAATGACTTTCTTATTGAGGACACCATTGGTTATTTTTTCAGAGGTTCTCTATGATTCTTGACATTTTTCTTTTGACATGATCTATCTGTGACTTTCAAGCTAATTTTGCGTCGATAACAACTCCCAAGAAATTGAATTCATACGCCCTCGAGTGTTGCTTAACCTTCCTCAATGTCTGGTGATGAAATTGTCCACGTTCCTCTTTGTGCTCAGTCTTACTTAATGCAGTGCGCAGCAGTGAGGACCCACTCGGGTGCGATCAAAGTTCCCCCACACACATGACTCCAGCGCCCACTGCTGTCTGACTGGAGAGAAACCTGTCCGGCACAGGAAGACAGGAAGCAGTTTTATTTTTGGGATCCATGGAGGCTTGCATTTGGGTTATAGTCAGCGCAAAACTAGTACAAACAGCAACTAAAAGAGACAAATGCATCCCTATAAATAGTGGGACCTCACCTGCCACGGCCAACTGTGTGGCTTAACGTCCACTCCTGCAACCACTCGAGCCGGCAGAGGAGGGTAGGCGGGAAGGCCACATCCGCAGACTAAAAATATGTCAGCAACACAATTTAATGTTCCTTTTCGGCACTGTAGTTTGTGCAACAGCAACATGTCACCAACACAGTGCTTTAACATTAGACAATCACTCTCAATTGCAGTCAATATTCAACATAAAACTGTCCACATTCTTACCGTCAGCGACCAGTAAAGTGAGAAGGAGCAGCTTCCTCATGACTGTCCTGTGTCCAAGTGGCTGTCCTTAGAAAAAAGAAAACTGCATCAGACCTGTACACGCAGAAATCCAAACAAGTGTTAAGCGGGGAGGATTTGACATGTGGTTCGAGGGAGCATTTTCCCATCACCGCTTCTCTTCCTCATTGGATTATTTGGTTTTGTTCATTACATTAGTGGTCATGAATGAAAACACTCAAAACAATAAATGGCCTTTCTGATACAGGTACTTCTCCAAAAATTAGAATATGGTATAATTGTTAATCATATCAGTAATTCAAAAAGTGGAAGTGTCTGATATAGATTAAACACAGAACATACATTTTTAGAAGGCCAATTCCTTCTCATTTTCTAAAAATAATTGAAAGTTTTTCATGATATTCAAATTTATTGAGATGCACGTTTACCGTTCTTTTGAAAGGACGTGTAGTCTTTTCTGTATGCGTACACATTACTTCTCCCTCTTTTTTCCGAAGGTAACTTTTATTTTTTATACCGGTAATTTAAAGAAGAGGACTTCTTTAAATTACCGGTATTGAACACGCCTAACAATGTGATCATTAAGAAAAATGATGGTTCAGATTCGCGACATGTATTCTAATGCACTGTGTCTTTTCGATTGCTGATTGAGACATCTGTGGGGTTCCCATTGGGGTTAGCTTTGGCTGATAAACTCTCAATGGTGATATGGTAGCTAAGCTGTACATTAGCTGCTTCAATGTTTATTTTTCTTTATTTTCTCAAATCAATATTTGGTCAAACTAGAAAAGACCTTGAAAATACCTCAAAACATTGTGCCGCATTGGGCCCTGCACTAGGACTAGAGTGAGCCACAAGATGGCGACAAATGATTGTATTTGCTAGTTGTGACTCAGGCATTTCTACTGAGATATTTCAAAAAAGTACATTTTACTCAGTGCTCGACACGACAATACCGCAATACTTGTAAAATTACAAATGAAACAAATTTTAATGATTTGAAAAGAAAACAATTAGACCACTGGGTGTCTATGGCCATGTTTGGGCTCATTGACGACTTTGATTGAACTCAAAAATCAAATGACACTCACAATCACGAGTATACGATAACCATTGAAGGGCCCTGTGAATTAAAAGGGTCGATAAAAGTCTAAAATAGCAGAAATGTTATGCCTTTTAGGTGTATGGAATTTTGAGACATTTTTCATGTTTTTCATGTTGCCACGAGAAATGGGCTTTGAGTGCTTAATTTTCAAAAACGTAGCTATAAATGAATGAATACCAAACAATATTACCACAGTTTAAAAAAAAAGTCGAAATCGTGTCAGACCTAGAATTTGGTGGTTCCACTATTGCAATGCATCTTAAGTGTGCTGGGGAAACCGAGAGGGTTAGCACCCAAATTGACAGGGCTTTAATAGTATATAGTTGAAGTCATCATCACTGAGTGTGTGTGTGTGTGTGTGTGTGTGTGGGGGGGGGGGGCATCACGGGACAAAGTAGCCTTTATGCAGTGTGCTGAGCTCCAAGGCAGAAACATTGTTCAGCATTATAACATTGTGTAACTAAAACCACATGTTCCAAAGTGGAGGACAGACAAACACAGAGTGACTGCTACTCAACGTCAAGAACCGACAGTCAATCTTGAGGAGGGAATAGAACAAATGAAGACATTTGAGTGACAATGGCCTTTCCTGGTGTGGTTAATTTGAAAAAAAAAAAAAAAGAATTTAAATAAGTACACTTGAGCTGTCCAAAAACTGATGCCATCACGATGCTGCTTTCTCCTATTAGTTGGGTGAATAATGATACACTTTCTTGAGCGACTGCATCAACAATGGCCTGGTGAGTTTAGTTGAGGCAGCTATTGTGGCTTAAGGTCGATTTACTGAAACATAACCAATGTCCACATGTGAAGTCTATGTGTGTCACTCTTGTCATTCTGAGCATCTTAACATCATTGACTTTGATGACTTGATTATACTTTTCAAGGTTAATGGAAGCTCACTATGCTGTATATTGTTTACTGAAGGTTTGTTGTTTTGATGGTGACGATTGCAAAACAGTTAAGAATTTGGCTACACGGTCTTGATTATACTTTTCAAGGTTAATGGAAGCTCACTTTACTGAAGGTCTGTTGTTTTGATGGTGACGATTGCAAAACAGTTAAGAATTTGGCTACACGGTACAGTTTTTTGATTGTGAATGTTGAACCATGAAAAGGATCCTTTGTGTTTTCATTGTTTACTACGGAAAACCATGTTTTGAAACCCAGACAGAATCCTGGAAAAGACTGTGTTGCACCTTGGATTCCCTCGAAGGGGAAATGATCATTTTAGCACAAATCCCATTTTGTGTGGACCCGGCAGGTTCCTCATAATCACGCTGGCTATGTGTGTGTCAGCTCTAGAAGCTCCTTAGATCGAGACAATTAAGTCACCTAAATACAGCTTTGTTTAATTATCAGAAAGCGGTCGATGCATGCTGATGGTCACACAAATCCTGAAGGCCCTCATCGCCACCTCCACTGCTGTGCTGCCACTTCCTTCTCTCAGCCCAAAA